TTTTGTTACTTTCTTATGGTTTGAATATATAATGTACTCCATAGACATGTTTGAAGACATGAGTTTCAGCCAGTGGTGCTATTTAGTAAATTTATGTATCTTTAGAAAGTAAAGCTTTGCTATAAGAAGTGAGACACTGGAAGAGAGCCTTGACATTTTATTGTACAGGGACACTTTCTGCTCCCTCTCTGCTTCCTGACTACATATACAATGTGACCAACCATCTCCCTCCTCATGGTCTCCCATCTATGATGAACTAGGCATGCTGCTGAACCTTAAAAATAAACCTGTCATTACACAGCATTTGACAGATACTTTCTCACAACAATGAAAAGAGCAACAGTTACATTCTCAGTAGTTACAGATGTACTGTTGACTAAATGGATAGTTTAATTCCATTCCTATCCAAGGAAGTCACTGAAAAATAAACTAAAAATTTCCTTTTTTCTATAAAATACCTCAGAAACTTCACTTTGGGAAATTTTGCAGTACATATGTATAGAAACTATCTTCAACAACTACTTTTGAACTGTGGCTTTTGTTGGATCAAATGGCAGTTCATTCAACAGAACGAATCTACACAGTAAGTGCATGTATCCCAGATACTGTGTCTTTATAAACCTTCACTTTACAAGAACTCTTTAACATTCATTTTATATGCAACCTCTGGATCTATATAGAATTTATTGCAGTTTCTGTAATTATTTCCTTTTCCCTTTGTAATTAACAAAAATCTGCTGGAGAAATGCAATCTATTCAGTTTACAGTGAATCTTGGTAAACTTGAGTGTCAACCACTTTCAGTTGTTGTCACTGTCCAGGTAACTCCTAGTCTAAGATATGTCTCTGTTAATGAGGTTTGCCAAGAACTTGTTATTCTTTCTCTTAGAGTTGTACCATTACCTGTATACCTGCCTTGCTTTCCAGATTACTGTCAACCCAGGGAAGGCAAAGCTTAGTCTATCTCAAGGTCTGATAAATGTCTATGGGTTAAATAAACAATAAACCCAGATGAACTTGGATACTAGAAATTTCAAAAGAGGAAAGTGATGGCTAAGAAAGTTTAGGGCTGAGGAGACAGCCCCACTGTACAATGTTTGCTTAGCATGATCAGAGACCTGATTTTGAGCGATACTGCCAGAAAAAGATTATCTTTAGAAAATATTGTCAATTTCTGTATATTAAAGAATACCAGGTCCAGTGTGTTGATGCATGCTTTTAACTCCAGCACTTGGGAGGCAGGGGAGATGGATATCTGTGACTTCCAAGGCCAACTTAGTCTACATAGTTATATAATGAGTTCTAAGACAGCCAGAGCTACGTAGAAGGACATGTCTAAAAACAAACAAGCAAACAAACCCATACAATTTTAAGAGTATTTAGCTATAGATAGTTGGTTATTTTGGGGCAGTGCCTAAAATGTAGGGCTACCCAGCTGACATATACCACATCTGGTGGCCCACACCGACTCACATCGGAGCTCTGGATCAAACAAAGATCATGAGTAACCCCCAGCCCACGGCCCACCAGCTTTTGACACTAGCCCAAAAGACCCAGGCCTTCCAACTCTGAAAACAGACACTCTTGTCTTCTTCCCACTTCTGTTTTCAACCAGAGCTACTACAGGGACCTCCGTCTAAATCCAGACAGTCTAACTGAACATTAACAAACACTGAAATCCCTGCTCCCACCCTGGCACCGCTGACAGAGTGCCACCAAGTCCCTATGCTTCTTCTCTTTCTGCTCTACTTTTAGGGTTTACAAAAAACACACCCCTGCCTCCTAGTAATACCAGCCAAGAAAAAAAAACACACTCGGGGGCGGGGGAGGGGGCGTAGAGGACCTGCCTGCTAGAGCAAATGGCCAACAGCTGCTGTATGGTAGAACAGACTCTTCCTCCTCCATCTAGGTGAAATGAGCCCCATAAACAAAACATACTGGATGAGATCTTACTGCTGAGAAAAAACACACCTGAAACCCTTAACCCAATTTTTTTCATGTTTCTTTGTTTAAATCCTTGTCCTTCTCCCTAGCAGGAACACCTGTAACAAAGTTTGTGCCTTTTAACCCAAAATTTTCATACTTCTTTGTTTAAATTTTTATTTGTCTCCTTAACAGGAACACCTGAAACAATGTTCATGCTTTTTAAGCCAAAATTGTTCTAAGATTTTTCAATCTGTTTAAAACTTAAGCTTCAAAAATCATATTTAATCTACCTCCCACAGTTCAAACCAACTATGTTAATAACCATTATTTAATTCTTAATTAATAAAATAATACTATCTACTTAAGCCAGTTTCTTTTTACAGACAAAATGTTACTGCCTATCCCAGGTACATAATTAACATGGTATTTTCTTCCTCAGCTTCCTAAAGCAGATAAACTTTGAACTCTTCCCTTTCCTTAATACAACACAGGTAACTTCCCATTTAAGGATTCATTCGAGGACTAAAATTTCTTCAACACTATTGCCTTTTTTTCTAGGACCATGGCAACAGACCACCAATGGGCTCCCAATCAAACTGCTATAGGCTTAACATATACAACATTCCCCCCTATGCAGACATCCCCCTGCTGGGGTTCTCCTCCTCTGTTATGATTATCCTACATGCTTATCTCTACACAAAGGGGAAAGATAGCACTGCTACAAGCTAGATAGGGTCCAAGTCACCATCTTCTTGGACTTGCCTAGGGCCATGAAGCTGCCTTTGTCCAAACGCATTATCTGTCTGAAGACTTTCAAGACAAGCAGATACTGAGATCCACAAATGACTACTTTGGGTCCATCCAGCAACAGATAAACTCTCTTGCCAGAGCCTAATAGCTACCAAACTTGAGGAAACTTACATGATAGTAAGGAAAATGTTATGTCTATATAGATAAATCAAATGTTGTTTAAGACCAATGTTAATACCCTTACAAACTCTGTACAAACTCACTCTCAATTTCAATCCACCGAGCAATTAATTGGTTCAATAATCCCTTGGTTTCCCAGCTCCCATCCCTCACTACCCCTCTGGCCAGTGTTGTGTTTTATTTTAATGCTTACACCCCACCCCACTCAAAATTTGTACTACAAATAACAAGAGATAGTCACTCCAATGACACCTCCCCTTTATAAAAAGAAAACTGAGGAGTTGTGGGGTAAGTGGAACTGTGTCACCAGATAGAAAAACTGGTAAGGTCAAGCAGATTAAGGAACCACCATGGCAATTCTCATAACTGAGAATGGTAGGTGTAGGAGGAGCTAAGGTGGGAGGAGTAGGAAGAGGAGGAGTAAGGAGGAGAGGAAGAGGAGGAAGAGGAGGAGCTAGGAGAGAGGAACGAGGGGGGGCATGCAGGCCGATGTACACATATCTGTAGCAGTCAAAGGTAGTTGGTATATCTAGGTTGGGTATTGGGTTACACTTCTGATTGTATGGTCATCTTGTTATTGATCATTACCAAATACATAAGTTTTTGGATAATTTAAGCATTAGAGTCTCATTTTCCTACTGGGCACACGCGGATGATGGGATGGTCTGGGCAATGCTCAGCCTTGTGGAGACAGCGTGAAAGATGGCAGAGCCATCTCCCACACTGACGTCTTGTGGGTGGCAGGGCTGGTGTTTCTGGCTGGCCGCTTCTAGCTGCGGTGCGCATGTGGCCTCTGGCCATGGAACATGGCAACTGAGCTAGGCATAGCCACAGCAGCTCTTTGAGAGTCGGCTTGACCAGAGGCCATTTTTTTAAATAATTACTTCAACAGGTAGGCTTTTGAATCTGCTCTCCACCAGGTTCCTGTCCTGGAGCATGTGACCATGACACCCTACTAGGAAGACCATGGCAACTGGTCGCATAGCATGTAGCCCAGAGTTCTCCATGCTAATGAGGTATCTAGATGCTACACACACACACACACACACACACACACACAACCCAAGTGTTTGGCCAATAAGCTTCCTTTCCTGGACGTTCCTTCCTGCAAGAGGTATTTAATCTCTGGAGCACCATGAATAAGTTGTATGCACCCATTTTCCATGATGAATAAACAGTTTGGACAAGCAAGGACTGTTTTCTTATCAAGAACCACCATGGGGGGGAACCTTTGTCATTACAGAGCCCCGCTGCCTAAGACTCCAGCAAAAAGCCCCTCTGACACTCACTCTGAGCTAAACTGGATTCCTCCTCCCCCAACCCTGGGATCATTACCAGCAGGGGCCCCCCCACTCCACCCCACTCCCATTCTCAACTCCTCATGGTTCCTAGTATCTGGGTGTCCTCAGCCACAACCTGTGCCATTACTCACCCAGAGAGACAGGGGCTGGAGTCTCTGCATTCTTAGGCTGCATTCTGCCTCCTCTGAGTGGTATGTTGGCATGTCGCACAAGCCCAGCATCCTGACGGCAGCAAGGATGGAATATAGCCTAGTACCCCTGCCTCATGTCTGCTCCAGGGGCGTACACACATCCCAGCAGCCAAGCAAAACACAGATGCACAGGTTATAGTTAACTTTATAAAGAAAAACATGATCTTCTAAAGGTTTATTTTGTGGATGTGTGAATGTGTGATATGTGTTGGGAATATGTGGATAAACACACCCTATGCATGTGAGGAGGCCAACAGAGGAGTTTCAGGTGTCATGTTCCATCACTTTTGGCCTTATTCCTTGAGGCAGGACCTCTCACTGAACTTGGAGCTAGGCTTACAACCAGCAGGCTCTAGAGACTGTCTCCTAGCTCCTCCCTCCCAAACAGTGCTGACGTTTGAATGTGCAGCCATCCCATATTTCTGAGTGCTGGGGATTCAAACTCAGATCCTCATGCTTGCACAGTAAGCACTTGAATCACTGAGCCAGTATGATTACTTTTTTTTTAACAAAAAGACTCCAGATTCTGATTTGATACATGCAATGGAACTTTAATTTGATTTCAAACTACTACAAAAATTGTCTTTCTAAAGTTAAGTGAATTTGGATGACTAAGAAAGTCTCCTCTCCTTTGGCATGGCAGATCTGTATTCTCAACTGGAAAGCAAAGCTATGGGAGAAAGATAAAGTAAAGTTAAGCAACTTGGGAGGACTAATATACACAGTATATCATACTCTATTATAAAAGTAAATGACAGCAACACAATTTTCAAACTAATAAACTGTATATGCTGGTAGACATGTACTTTTAAGAGTCTGATAAACACATGGATCTTATCTTGTCTTTAATCTGTTTCTTACACTACTGCTCCTTAAATATGTACAATGCAGTATTAGAAGGAGTTGAAAAAGGAGACCTCACCTCATAATCATATTCCGTGGACACAAATAAAATCTTAAAGATGTGCCAGTCTTTCCTTGGGTAAGTGTTATGCTCAAGACACATTGGTAACTGTGGTCATGATTATTTATCAAATAGCACAGAGAATTAGATTCAAAACAGTACAATTCTATCTCTTTATTTACTGTGAATAGATAAACTATTCTTTAGCAAAGCAGCACCCAAACACTTTGATACTTCTCTTCACTACTTTTCTGTTATCCAAATATCCCTAGTTGTCATACAGTTTCAGGTGACAAACTTTTTCAAATATTTGCCTGTAAAGATAAGTGTCCATCAAATATATTAATCCTAGACATATAAAGTTACTAACATCAGTGACCGCTTCGACTTTATATGCTCCTGTAAGTTAACTCTGCCCTCCTGCCCCCTCCTATTACCTCTCTCCTCTGATGCCTTCCACCCTTTAGGCTCCTTCTTCATTTTTGTTTTCTGTTTCTTCAAAACCTTCAACATCCTGTTCATCCTCTTCCTTAAAGGATTAAATCATGTTACAATATGTAAAGCTCAAATGCACCTTTACTTTCAACAGTAGTGAGATAGCAACACTGTTTGCCCACATTACTAAACTTTCCTGTCTGATTTTTTTCAAAAAAATCATTCTAAAAAGAAATGTAATTAATTTGGCTCCTTCAAATTTATCAATACACACTATCATTTTCACTAGTCATTGTGATCATATGATCCTCCACAATCAGTGTGGCATCAAATTCCTCCATAGCATGAATGGTACCTACTCAATAACCTCCTTCCATATTTTCTAATCTAGGACACCTTCCTTTTTACCCCTACTCCAGAGAGAATTCCTTGTCCTCTGACCATCAAATCAATAGTAACAGTTTATACTGCATCGCTATTATAATTTTGAAAGCATTTTAACTTACTTTTGGGGTCACGTTAGCTACAAGGATATTATATGACAAGATCTTGCCCAGATACCTCATATAGTTTATTTCATTTAATTCTCATGAAAATCCTAGAAGGTATGGGATTTCCTCTTTGGGAATTATTAAATTAGCACTAATATCAAGCATCACTATACCACAGCACCAGCTAGTACATGCTACCCTCAGGCATGTTACAGAGTATATCATTAATGCCTTTAAGTGTATGAATTGTCCTTATTTAACTTTAATAATTTTTTAAATTAAAATATAATTACATATTTCCCTTTCCTTCCTCCAAAGCTCTCCCATGTCCACCCCATCACATCCATGACCATTTAATCATGTAGTACACATAACAGTACTTGGATCCAAAAACCTCATTTAATTTTCCTGATGACAAGCTCAGGCACTTGCTCTATCATTTCTATTTTTGTGATAAAGAAACTGAGCCACCAATAAAGAAAGTAACTAGCCTGAGGTTGCCAAATTATTTAATGAGCCAGGATTCAAATCCAGACCTAGAAAATGCAAAGTACATTTTTTTTTCTATTTCTGTGCTAGCCTATAACTTTCTCCCCTCTAGGTATGTGATTCATTTAGGATAGAATATTACCTTAGAAATATTAGTTGATTTTTATCAAGAAATGTTGATTATTGTTTATAGAGCTTTCAGTTTCTAAAGAACTAAACACACATGAAATAGGGGCAAAGGAATTTTCATGGCAGAGGTTATATAGTGAAACTGAAAGGAGAGAGAGAAAAGGTTAGCATATAAGATTAGAAAGAGAAAGTAACAGATTCCCCATCTTTGTACCTCAGTGGTAAGCAGCATAAGGAAGAGAACATCAAGCCACCCAAAGCTGTCCAGAGAAACTAGGCTCTAAGCATGTGAGAGCCAGAGATAAATAAGCTTGCCTTTGAAAGGATGGCTTTCAAGGTAATACTCACTTCTCTCTGCTAAAACTACATTACTGGGTTGTCACTAAGCTCCAATAGGTAAGATAGTTGTGAAGGAAAGACACACTTTTCCCTCAATTCATCATCAAAATATCTCCAAGCACAAAATGAAATACTGTGTGAAGGCCAAAAATATATTTATATGATTTACCTATTACCTCTTTATGTTGTTATGTTGTTAACTGGAGTCTCAGGGGAGAGAAGAACTAAAACTACATATTTCTTAATCTTTTACAGCCAGCTATGTATCAGAAAACAAGGGTTTTTGGGGTTTTTTTTGTTTTGTTTTTTTTGTTTTAAGAACCATGATGGGATTTACTGATTACTGTTTGACACTTCCAAGGAGCCTTGGGCAGTATGTCATAATAAAACATGCTGTCCTTCTGGTCTGGGCCCAAGCGCTGAGCAGATCCCGGGTGGCAGCTCTGTACCCAATCTCACAAAACCCAGAGGAAGCAGGCCTCCCAGGAGTTCTAACCCAGGCAGTATCTTAAGTAGGGAGACAGCAACACCCTGCCCAAACAGGGAGTAACTGGGACCCACTGAGACCCAGGAATTCACTCCTGGCCCGGAGCACTGGTTCCTTCCTGTCTGTGCCTGAGCACTGAGCAGATCTTGAGCCCCAGCTCTAACCCCGGCAGCAACACCCTAAACAGTTCTGACACAATCAAGATAATAGGAAAGACAGGATCCAGTCAGAGACAGTGCAGGTAGCACTAAGGAGATCCAGATGGCAAAATGCAAGCGCAAGAACATAAGCATCAGCAACCCAGGGCACTTGGCATGATCAGAACCTAGTTTTCCCACACTAGAAAGTCCTGAATTCCCCATATCACCAGGAAAGCAAAATTCGGTTTTAAAATTACTTCTAATGATGATGATAGAGGACTTTAAGAAGGACATAAATAACACTCTCAAAGAAACTGAGGAGAACACAGGTAAACAGGTAGAAGCCCTTAAAGAGGAAACACAAAAATCCCTTAAAGAATTACAAGAGAACACAACCAAACAGGTGAAAGAATTGAACAAAACCATCCAGGACATAAAAATGGATGTAGAAACAATAAAGAAATCACAAAGGGAGACTACCCTGGAGGTAGAAAACCTAGGAAAGAAATCAAGAGTCATAGATGCAAGCATCACCAACAGAATACAAGAGATAGAAGAAAGAATCTCAGGTACAGAAGATACCTTAGAAAATATTGACACAACTGTCAAAGAAAATGCAAAATGCAAAAAGTTCTTAACACAAAACATCCAGGAAATCCAGGACGCAATGAGAAGACCAAACCTAAGGATAATAGGTATAGATGAGAGTGAAGATTCCCAACTTAAAGGGCCAGTAAATATCAGGCAGACTTATCAGAATTACACCTGACTTCTCACTAGAGACTATAAAAGCCAGAAAATCCTGGACAGATGGCATACAGACCCAGAGAGAACACAAATGCCAGCCCAGGCTACTATACCCAGCAAAACTATCAATTACCATAGATGGAGAAACCAAGATATTCCATGACAAAACCAAATTTACACAATATCTTTCCACAAATCAAGCCCTACAAAGGATAATAGAGGGAAACCACCAACACAAGGAGGGAAATTATATCCTAGAAAGAACAAGAAAGTAACCCTCTTCCAACAAATCCAACAGAAGATAGCCACACAAACAATGCCACCACTAATATCAAAAATAACAGGAAGCAACAATCTCCTCGCCTTAATATCTCTTAAAATCAATAGACTCAATTCCCCAATGAAAAGACATAACGGACTGGATACATAAACAGGACCAGCATTTTGCTGCATACAGGAAACCCACCTCAGTGACAAAGACAGACACTACCTTTGAGTAAAAGGCTGGAAAACAATTTTTCAAGCAAATGGTCCTAAGAAATATGCTGGAGTAGCCATTCTAAAATCTCCAACCTGAGAACACAAAGGGAGAGACTCATGGCTCCACCTGTATAGGTAGTAGAGGGTGGCCTTGTCAGACATAAGTGGAAGTGGAGGGCCTTGGCGCCTGAAAGTTTGGATTCCCTCCTGTTGGGGAATTCAAGAGCAGGGAGGCAGGAATGGGAGGATGGTGGGAGCATATCCCCATAGAAATAGGAGTATGGTGGATGGGATAAGGGGTTTGGGAGGGGAATGGGAGAGGAGATAACATTGAAAGGTGATAAATAAAATATCCAATAAAAAATCAGATAATGGGTCTGACAATTGTAGTTGAGCAGTAGAGACTTTTTGTCAACAATTTATTAAGGGGATTTCGTATAATCCAAAGACAAGGTATTGTGAAAGAGGCCCATGGAACTTTAAAAAGATTGGTGAGACATACTGTTGCTGATACAAAGAATGATGCCAAGCTTGCTGAGTGCCCTGACAAGGGTGACTGGGGAGCTGTATTGGACATATGTTCCTGACCCACCTTTGCTTGACTATATCCCAGATGGGACAAGATGCCTTGCCTCAAGTTTTTAGACCTTGTGGGATAGAGAATCGAAAAGAGAAATAATGCCTCTTGCATTCTTCTTAATGGTGACCAGCTATTAGGACTCAATCATGTACTGGTGTAGAAATCAATTCAATATGGGAAATAACAGCCTGCTTTTGGAAGACTGGATCTGGTCTTTGTCAGAGACATATCTGGAAGCTAGCTGAAGCTCGCTATGATGTTAGGGTAACAAGACATAATGTTGGGACAGGATCTGGATTTCAAACAAGGGTTAGTGCATGTTTTAAGGCTCTTTTAATTGTCAAGCTAAAATTGGTTTTGTCTCATCTACAGTTTTTATTGTAAGTTACATTGACTGTATGATTTCCAATTGTGTTAGTGTGTTGAAACCAGGCATGTCTGCTATAGGGGTCTATCAACCACTTTTCGTCTCACTGTCCTGAGTATTAGAAAACCTTGATTCTCTGAAAAAAAGCTTGAAAGTGCTGGAAGAAGTGAGTTAGGCTTTAAGCAGAAGCAAGAGGATAGCAGGCTTTATTATTGCTAGTATAACAGTTTTAATTCCATTAATTATTAGCACCACTGCTTATGCAATAGCATTGACACAAGGAATTAAGACAACTATTTTTGTTAACCACCTAGCCAAAAAAAAAATGTTACTAATGTATTGAATATACAAAAGGATTTATATAGGTTCTGGAACAATGAATGATGATCTATAACCCATTCAAATTATCTGAAGGAGATTAAGGGTTCAAGAGTTAGGAGCCATCCCAAGTGTCATGACAAATATCATAGGAATAGTATTACTTTTGAAATTTACAATGATTGCCATTATAATTAGAAAAAAGTTTAAAGACACTTGTAGGATATTTGGCATAATCCTAATACCTCTCTGGGTGTGTTAACTTTGCATAGTGAGATTATGAATTTAAAGAATGCTGCTCTGTTGACCTTTGATGCGACAGATGTCAATAAAATTAACCATGGCCTGAGGTCAGTATTTCCATTTTGGTCAAACCTCAGGAATGGCATATATAGCTTGATCAGGCTAGCCCTTCTTGTCCTGGGAATACTTTTACTCCTGCCCACTGTGTTAAAGGTTATTTTTAACAACATCAACAAGTTGGCAGCCGAAGTACATAGCTTAAACCTGAAAATGGACCCCCCAGA